GCGTTCTTTATATCCACGCGTAGGTGAGATTATGCTCTACAACTTTCATTTAGACTTCGTCGGCTAGTTTTGACTTTATTTTTAATGATATTTTGTAAATGGGCCGGGACTACTAAAGTCCGCTAAAAATTCATAGGTTCTTTATTCGATGTCGGTTTTCGTTTGTCTTTTTATCGTTTTATTACTATTGTGGAGATCTTCAAGTTCCATTTATGTGGCAATAGCTAAATAACACTCAATCTTTAATTTGAGTTTTTAGCCCTCTACTACTGTTACGAAACTTAGGGAATTCGTAACTTCTTCATACGAAGTCCAATTTGGGCGATCTTTTTATGCACGCTCCCCATTTAACGAAATCTACGACTTTTGTTTAGATACTTAAGGCTAACATGCATTTTATTGAGATATCACTTTTTACGTTAAATAACGTTTTAACGGCGTGTCATAAATATACGAGTGGTTATAATTTCTTCAATATAACCCGGTTTTGAGCGTTCTTTATGTTTTTGGAAGCCTTGGCACGATATCTAATATTTGATGCATCCCAACTTAGATAATTAAACGCTTTTATTTTTGAGGTTAATTTCGTTGTATCTGACTTTTAAGCGTTACACTGGTTTTGGAAAATATAGGGTTGTCACAATAACTCACCTCGAAATTGCCGGCTGAAAGGATAAGATCTCGCTGCTCCAAACTCCGACACGAACTCCTCCACTGAACACCAAAACACTCAATTCAATAAATACCCTTAATTACCAAAATACCCCTGGAAGACAACTGGTCAACCTTTGGACAAGGTCAAAGTCAACCCCTGACTGACTCTACTCGCCGAGTCACCCCGAGACTCGCCGAGTCCAACAACTCTGAGTCTGCTCCGAAGCGAACTCAAGGCAAAACATCGCCCTCTCAGTGAACATCCTGGTGATCTCGGTCACCGATTCTGAATCCTGCTTCAGCTCAAGGAACTCCTGAGCCAATCTCTCCCTCTCAACTTGCGGAACATAACGAGTGTTGAACATTTCTCTGAACTGATCCCATGAAACCGCAGCCCTCTGCGCATCTGAGTATGACCCCGTGGTCAATCTCCACCAATCCTTCGCCCTAAGCCTCAACAGGTTCAGAGCACACCTCACCCTCTGATCAGCAGGGCATGAACACGTGAAGAAACACCCCTCCACGTCCGATAATCATCTCATAGCAACAATCGGGTCCTGAACTCCATCGAAGGTGGGAGGCTTCGTATTATCGAAGTCCCGATACTAAAAGCCCCGACCAGCTCCTCCCCCTGCCGCTGCTACAGCCACTGTAGCCGCCGCAGCAGCCGTCTCTGTGAGAGCTGCATATCGGTCATCAAAATACTCAACCATGGCGGTCTTGATCGACCCAAACAGTTCCGGCAACTCAACCCGGAACAACGCAACAACCTCATCATGCAGAATCTCACGAATCCTCGCATCCAACTTGCACTTACTCATCTGACCAATAACCTCGGGCGGCACAGACCCGCCCTGAACCCCCCTCTCCTGCTCTCGATCCTGACCCGGATCCACTCCCAGCATGCCTCGGAATCTCCATACTGAAAAACATCACAAAATCTCAGACACTTCCCACTATCCCGGGAACCAACTCTCCTTCAACCCAACCCTAGAGGTCATGGTTTCCCTGATACACGTATGGGTCCTGTGCTTTCAGTAGTATGGGCCCATACTACCTTCCACACCTACCCATATTTGTATGGAGTACTACCACAACGCCATAGAGAAATCATACAAACTAGCGCTCAACCCTCATCACTAGAGGAACACTGGAAATCTCCCACAAGGAACCCTAGGATACAGGCATCACAAATCAGGCAACATTATCATGAAATCCTGAAGATCCCTAGCCTAGCACTAGCATGCTGTTCTAACAAAGCTCAAAAACAAATATCATGTATGGTATTTTGGGGTTACTTACTGGCTCCGTCTGATCGTACCTCCGCGTCCTCCTTTACTCATTTTGAAAACCATTTGTAATTCTCTTTTGAAAACTCTCCTCGATTTGAGACTGGAGTCACACGAGTGTTCCTCCAATTCACTCAAACCAAGGCTCTGATACCAACTTGTAACGACCGAAAAATTTCCTCCAATTTAAACTTTTCAAAAGCACCCCAATATCATTAAATTATTAGAAAAAGGTTTTCAATACAATTTATTTAGAATATTCCCAGAATCACATCATGACAAAACATGAGGAACGGTACGATCACGCCTTTGCCTTGCCACGGTCTCCTGAAGAACCTGAAAAGCATTAAACCACAACTGTAAGCCCGAAAGCTTAGTGAGATATCCCCAAAATACCAACCACATATACCATACACGCATAACATGCCATATCATATCCGATCACAGAACAGCCATGCACTTCGGGTCTACTGTGTGACTGGTCCGCCGCACCGGCCAACAGTCCACCTGGTCCACCCTCCGAGTCTATCCATATAAATCGAGTCTACAGTGTGATTGGTCCGCCCGCACTGGGCCTTCAATCCACCTGGTCCACTCTCTGAGTCTACAGTATGACTGGTCCGCCCACACCGGGCCTTCAGTCGGCCTGGTCCACTCTCCGAGCCTCGGCAAGTCTGGTCCGACCTCTTGGGGCCTACAACTTATCCGGACCGCTCGCTAGGCCTTCGGGACAACCGGTCCACCCTGGGTATCTTGGCCTACAGCACAAAGAAGGACCGGCCTCAACCCAACTCCAGTACGAACAACCATATGCACATAAACATACAAACATATACCAATTCATAGTTAACAAACCGATCAACAGATCACATAGCATATCATCATCCTAACCAGGATACCGACCTAACCGGTCACTAGCATATCATCACCCCACATAAAAGGATACCGACCTCTACCAGGTCTCTAACACGTACCATCCTAACTACCAGGATGCAATCATATCACGACAATAACATAACAACAAGTACCCGGATCTCAATCCGATAAAGGTCCGGCCTTGGTGCCTTAGACCCTGTTGATATAGTGAGGATAACTCACCTCGAAACTGTCGGCTGAAAGGATAAGATCTCGCTTCTCCAAACTCCGACACGAACTCCTCCACTGAACACCAAAACACTCAACTCAATAAATACCCTTAATTACCAAAATACCCCTGGAAGACAACTGGTCAACCTTTGGACAAGGTCAAAGTCAACCCTTGACTGACTCTACTCGCCGAGTCACCCCGAGACTCGCCGAGTCCAACAACTCTGAGTCCACTCGCACCTAACTCACCGATTCTCGACTCATCCAGAAAATATTGGGACTCTTCTACAAGACTCGCCGAGTCCAAGAACAGACTCGCCGAGTCTAAGGCTATTTTCAACCTACTCGCCGAGTTGTTCATACAACTCGCCGAGTTCCAGGCCATCTTTATCCAACTCGCCGAGTTGTTCTTCCAACTCGCCGAGTCCCAGCTTATCTTCAAGCAACTTGCCGAGTCAACCTATGTGACTCGCCAAGTACCACCAGTCTGAATCCATACAGAAGCATTCCAGGCCATGCAATTGATCCAAAACATAGATCTAGCCCCAGTGGCAAACTTTACGTGAATCCAAAGAGATCTAGGCCTTTTACACTTTAGGGCTAAGGTTTGGGACATGATGGCTTCACTAAGCACTCAAACACAGGGACTTTAATGCACTCTAGACCTTCTCCATTCCAGATTTGAGGTAGCAACCTCAGATCTAACCTCCAAACTCCAAAACACACCAAGATAAGCTCCCCATAAACCCCAAAATGATGAATCCATATGATTAACAGCTCAAGAACGAGATATTACCTCAAAAGAACGCCCCAACTGCAATGAAACTCGAATCCAAGCAAAGCCCCTTGCTCCAAGCCTCTTACCCTTCAAGATTTCCTCAACAATTGCTTCTCCAAGCTTCCAAATGCAACTTGATCCACTCACACACGAAGGTTAGGGTTTCTGGACTTGAGGATGAGTAAAGAGGCTGGGGGAATGGATGTTATGTTCTTTATATAGGGCTCAACCCCGAGAATTAGGGTTTTCTCCACTCAGCGCCTACTCGCCGAGTCCATCCACAGACTCGCCGAGTCGGCCACTTAACACGCGACCACGTCGCGACCCTACTCGCCGAGTCCCCCCATGGACTCGCCGAGTTCCCTTCCAAATTTACTCTTTTAGCCCTTCAACTCTACTCTTGATATTTCAGGATGTTACACCTGCGGCAATTCATCTCCAGAACTACTCCCGTAATGCATCACCTGGCATTAACCAGACCAGGTTCGTTAATGCATAACCACTGAAGCCCAAAACCCAACTCTTCCTCTGCGGTGTCCTGACCACCGCCTCAAGCCGGCCACCGAATTCACCCTCTGATAACCACACTTATCAGATACTACACTTATCAACGGAGTACCACTCCATGGTACTTTTCTCGATCCAGATCACAACAATCACTTGACTCTTACGAGCTAGATATAACCTTGAAC